TGCCTTGTTATGTGATGATCCCAATCCAAAACTATGATATTTGAATAAGGAAAATTAAACGATGATTAATTGTTATTATCAAAAGAACACTCTTTTGAATCATATTAAAACAAGCAGTCAAGAAAAGACAAGAGCAATAGGAAAAGAAGAAAAAAAAATGAAGAATTATTGCTTCATTTGGACAAAGTATACAGACGAATAAGAATTAAACCAAAGTAGAATATTTCAAGTCAAAGTTACATTCAAATGAAGCTTCCCTTTACAATTCATAGCTAGGGAAGAAAAAAATTAAGTTGAGAACACTAACCTCGTGTGGAACAAGCCAGCCATTAGTCAAAAATAAAAAGAGTGATTCGGTCCACTAGACATTTTGTATTCACGCAGAGTTTGAAAATGACTGCATCCCAAAGACTGATGTAAATATGTTATCCTAATGCAAGTATTAATGGCTAGTTACACGGATCAAACACGTGACCTATAGGTCACACGGAACAAATTTACTATTGTCCTAATCTACCTTTCTAGTAAAAAAATAGTAGTAGTAATTGTTGGTTGTTCCATATAGACTAGTATTATTCAAAAACCAGGTTCACCCGCAGCACTATATTGTTTTTCTTTAGGACATTACTTCTAACTAGTTTTCACTTTTCTTGTTTTAATGGAAGAAGAGACTATTGAAACTCATTGTAGTTAAAATTTGTCCTTCGCCCACATACAAATCTCACATCGTTAAAACGCGAAAGAGATGTTAGGTATATGATGCATTTTAAAGGCGTGTCAGCCTAGGCCTTAAACGAATAATATTATTAATGGATTGAACTACTTTTTTTTGTTTTCCATCCGGTGTTCGGTACCCGCATTGAAGCCCGACTATATTCGGATTCGCGCCGTGTAGGGCCCCATTCGGGGGGAGGAGCGCTCCCTACCAAGGATTTTTCCGTACACAGGGCTCGAACCCGAGACCTCTGATTAAGGGAAGAGCAGTCTCATCCACTGCACCACATCCTTTGGTGGTGATTGAACTGTTATTTATGATATTAAATCCACTCTACATACAATCTTGTATGATAGTGGGGCAAACCTCAACAGTCAATTGGGTTTAGGCGAATACCACTCTTCCACATATCTTTGCGAAGGAGGTGGTAGGGCAAAGGAGATGGTGAGGCAAACCTCAGCGAGAATCTTGAGTGTGTGTGCAACATCCTCGTATCCCACATCGATAAAATACTGAAAAAATGTTGGTATATATAAGTAAATAATTCTTAAACTCTAGTGATACTTTTTAAAGTCATAAAAAGATTGTAAGAAGGCACGACCTAGATGGATGGCAAAGGATTATAATTATTATCATTTTAGGAGCTCATAATATCACTCGAGAGCTCGAATGAACTACAATGCTTTATTAAATTATTAACTCTTAAATACTGATTTGTCCAATTAGAGAGTTGCATACAAATCACAAGATCATTAAAAAAATTTAGTACCAGTTAAACATAGTAAGGTTTAATATGTTACATAGCATAAGATGTAATTAGAATTTTTATATAGTGGCCCTTGTGTCCCTCACCTAATAACATAAATATTTTGAACAAATATTTCTGTTCCCCGCCGTTGTGTGAACTGTGAAACACACTTTGAAAGGCAAGAAGCAGACTTTGAAAAGATTCTTTTACAGTAGAAAGATTTAATTCTGATTTCTGACTATCATTTCTTGATTGAATTAATTTTGTTTCTTGTTTGACTTTTTGGTATATTTCGTACTGCCTAAGTCGTGGCTTATTTGGATATGGATAAGCTTGAGGCATAGACCATAGTCTAATATTCATGGGGTTGAATATTAAAAATGACTGCAGAAAATATAAAAAAAAGATACTGAAGTGTGTGCGGCACCATATCTTTATTAAAAAAATTCATAAAATATTTACTATATAAAAGGTTTATTTCAAAGGAATCTATGGACTAGAAATTGGGCTTTTGACCTCTTGTAGAAATCCAAATAAACTATGTAGCCCAACTAGTTATATCACAAGCCCATTTCTTTAAGCTGGACTAGGGCTGTCAATCTTTGCCCCAACCTAAATAACTTACTCGACCCGTCCAAGGTTGGGCTGGTCATTGACCCACTCATTTATTAAGCTCAGTCCATCTTGGCCCAATTCATCTCAACCCATTTAAAATTAAGCTGATTTTAGCCCAAATTGATCCATGAGTAACTTTATCAAAATATCTTAAAAATAATTTTATTTTGTTTGATATGTTATATATGACCATAACAAAAGAAAAAAAAGTCTTATTTAGTAATTATATAATTCATAAGAAAATAATACATATTAAGTCAAGCTTGATAAAAGTATGGCGGATTAGGCTATGATCCAAATTTTAGTCTATCTTGACCCAACCCATCTTAGCCCAAGTAGTTTGACCTGCCCAATTATTGACTCAACCCATTTTGGCCCGCCCAAAATCGACCCAACCCGCTCATTTGACACCCCTAAACTGGACTATAACCAAGCAAAAGTGAGACCACGTAACCATTTTTAAGGCTGATATTTAGGAGGAATTGAACAATTAACCCAAATAGTCGTCTGCCTTACTTCTTAAACAAAAAAAACCGCTTGAGATGTAATATATGCATATATTATGTATAATATGTGTATAATTATGTATAATCAATGTATAATCCATGCATATGACTAAAAAAACGTAAATAATGAATATCACCGTCTATTTGTGTAAAGATTCCTTGAGAATTAGCCAATATGTCATGAATTTAACTTTTCAAGTTCAATTTCTGGGACACAAATCTCCTCAATTGTCCGAAAATTAAGATTTTTAGTTTAATTTTTTAGGACAAAATAACCGCTAACTAATTCCTAAATAGGAGCTCTAAGANTTTTTCTTTCTTAGAATTGGAAGAAAAAGATTGAAATGACTATTCCAAATTTCACCTATACCTTTCTTTGAGATTTCAACAAAAAATTTATCTTTTCTTATAAAATGTTTATTATTCGTTGATAGATCTAAAGCTTATGCCGTAGAAGCTGACATCAGGCTATTGGCCTTTTATCTGCATCTTCCCTCGTAGAGTGGCGTCTTTTATAAGAAAAGACTTTCTCAGTGGAACTAAAAAAAAAAAAAGAGTTTGAGCTCTTTTTTTTGGTTGACCTTTAGCCACGCGCGGCGGCTATACGCATATATCCCAAAATGCCGTATATTTTTTGGTAACAAATATACTCGAGAGAAAAGATTTGGAATTCGACCTCCCCTATTGTGTTTGTGCACTCCCTCCTATAACACGGTGACAAGAAAAATAATAAGATGCTTCCTCTATTCTAGCTTATGAAATACCTTTCTTCAAAGTGAAACGGTCACGAAATGTTTGCTAAATAGATCATTATTAATATGATTTGTACAACTTTTAAAAACTTAAATTTTTTAAATTATTCAAAATTTAAATTTTAGTGTCATATTTTTTCTACTAAATTAAAATTTCTTATTCAACTTTAATATATTCTTTGACTACTCGAAAAAGCTAGAATCAAATTAAGGGCGAAGTGCAGCAATAACCACTTTTAAGCATGTTATTTAAAATATATTCATAATTTACAATGTATTTAAAGATTAGTCAATTCACCCAAATTTCAAGACTAAGTATCCTAAATTTGGAAATTGAGAACTTAGCGTCTTGAAGATTTGAGTTGCTAATTTGAAATTCAGGACATAAGATTAGAACTTCTGGACACAAGTTTCGAACTTTAGATCACGATGTCCTAAATTTTGAGCTTTGAGGTTTAAACTCTAGGACATCATAAAGTATGAACAAAATTGGCTAATTTTTAAGTACATTGTAAAGTATAGATATATTTTAAACGACATGCTTAAAAGTGGCTACCTGGTGTCATTTCCATTGAGATAAAGAGAGAATTTTATAGGTCCATAGCAAAAATTATAATATATGGGTCTATATAAATAGAGGGGACATTTGCATCTACATCCGCTTTTTGTGTCACGTTTTAACTTGTACCCGCTTTGCAAAAAAAAATTACAAGCGTACCCGTTTTTTTCGCATAACTTCAGCATACAACGCTGAAGTAGCAAAGGCAATCACGCAAAACTTCAGCATTCTAGTAGCCAGACCTGAAGTTCAGCTCTAGAACTGAAGTTTTTGTTTTGTAACTGGCGAACTTCAGCTCTAGAGCTGAAGTTTGTTTTGTAACTCGCGAACTTCAGCTCTACAACTGAAGTTTTTGTTTTGTAACTGGCGAACTTCAGCTCTAGAGCTGAAGTTTGTTTTGTAACTCGCGAACTTCAGCTCTACAACTGAAGTTTTTGTTTTTGTGTTTTTATTTTGTAACTGGCGAATTTCAGCTCTAGAGCTGAAGTTTTTGTTTGTAACTGGCGAACTTATAACTGGCGAACTTCAGCTATAGAGCTAAAGTTTTTGTTCTATATTTGATTAACTTCAGCATGTACGATCCAATCCAAAGCAGATAGAAGCACCATTTCTTTTGGCAAGTCCAAGTAAAACAGCACACCAAAAACAAGAAGAATAAAGTCGTACTCTAAAGGGAAAAAGAAAACTAGAAATGGTTTCATAAACTCCATGGTGCTTATCGCGAACTGTTGTTTCCTACAAACCATTATCTTGGTTTGAGAAACTTTTGGATAAATTTGTTTAGAATGGAAGGACTGTCGAACGGTTCCACTGTTATCATCTAACAAATCTATCTATGCACAATCCAATCCAAAGCGGATAAAATGGGAAAAATTTCACATAAGAACAACTCGACTCCCTACTTTTGAATTTTATAGTTCATATTTATGGCAATCATTCCATGAACTGAAGTTTCATAGCAGCACCAACAGCAGCAGAAGAAAGAAGAAGAAGAAGAAGAAGAAGAAGAAGAAGAAGAAGAAGAAGAAGAAGAAGAAGAAGGAGGAGGAGGAGGAGGAGGAGAAATGAGGCTGAAGTTATTTAAAAAGTGAGTACAAGTTAAAAGTTTTTAAAAAAATGGGCATAGGTTAAATGGGGGCGACCAAATAGGACGTTCCGTGCAATTTTTACTAAATAGAGCCCCGACAAGTTAAGTCCATAATCCAGTTCCCTTTACTGTATTCTATTTTTCATATTTTAATTTCGGCATTTTTCCTATTCTCCATCTGCCATAATCGTCTTCACCACTGTTCCTGCACTTCTGTGGGCTTCTTCTCCGTCAACCAATGTCCGATCCCAGTTCTACAGCTCATATTAAAACTGTAAGCTCAATTTTTCCTTCTTCTCTTATTAAATTTTGGTAGTAATTTTTTCAGGATCTGTTTGAAAAATGGATAGCGAATTTTACAGGTGAGGGTTGTGATTAAAGGGAGAGTACAAGGTGTATCATATAGGGGTTGGACAGTAGATAATGCGACGGATTTGGGTTTGAGTGGTTGGGTTAGGAACAGAAAAGACGGCACTGTGGAAGCCATGTTTTCAGGTAGTCCTGAGAAGGTTCTAGAAATGGAGCGCCGCTGTTGGGTGGGCCCACCGGCGGCGGAAGTCACCGGCGTGGATGTTAACACTTGTGGTGAAGATCTTGCCCCTGGTTTTGAATGTAGGCTAACTGTCTGATGAATTGCCTTGTCCAACCGGTACCACTTGGAGAGAGGAGACAAACCCTGTACAAACTGTCCAGTTAAGTTCTTGCTATGAAATATGTTAAAAATGTAATAATCAATCGGTGGCGGATCTAGAGCATTATATATATGGTGAATCTAATTATAGTTTATTAATTTGAGATTGTGATAGAAACTCATAAACTTCAAATTCTAGATGTGCTTCAAATCGGAGACAAATAGTAGAGGTAATTTTGGAGCACTGAGTATGGAATTGCATGAATTCGATGTGTTTACGCGGTCTAAAATTGTACTAGTGATAACGTTATCTATAAATTTAACTTGAATGCCACTTCATATTAGAGTTTTTCCATCTATCATGCAGCATATCACTGGTTGAAGATGAATATATTTGATCAACAGTTAAATATAATTCTATTTTTCAGTGCACTCGAATAGTTATCTTTTATGTCGTTGGTTTGTAGTCTTTCGGATTTTTTAAGTCATTTACTCATATAGAAAGTTGTTTCCGTAATCAGCGTCAAAATTGCACGGGCTAGCCAGTTTTCGGACTGGTCAATCAAAAATAGCTATCATTTGTCCAGTCATCGAAAAATAGTCACTATTTTACTGCAACAGAGACCAATCCAGTATAATATACCGGAGTCCAGTATATTATGCTGGAGTATTTTCCGGTGTTTTTGTTCAGATGTATCTTTACATGAAAAGTGACTAAATTTCGATGACTTTTGAAACTATGGCTATTTTTGAATGATCACTCGTAAATCTGGCTATTTTTGAATTTTTTCCGTAATCAACTAGTGATGCTTATATTCGGGTAGATTGCTTACATCACACCAGTAATTAATATTTGGCCAAGCTTTTAAAAATTATTTTTAAGTGTCTTGTTCTTAAAAGTATTTTTGGGAAGATATTATTTTTTCTCTCTACTCAAAAGCTACTTCAATTCCTCTTAGAAATACTTTCTATCCTTTTAAAAGTTTGGCCAAACATTTTAACTTTAGAAACTAGTACACTCTTTGCTGAAAAATACTCTTGGCCAAACTTGCCACTATTAGTTTTGTTAGTAACCATTTCAGCAACTAAAATGATTTTTTGGTCAATATAGATCATTTGAATTTAATTAGAATTGAGGATCCTAAAATATGATACATTGATTAATTAAAAAGAGATCTGAGACTTCACAATGCAAAGAAAGATTGTTCTATATATTCTTCCGTTCTTCAAACAGAACAAATAGAGATAGAATCATATCATATTTAGTTATAATCCAACTAGTGATATGAATTACGTATCTGTTTCTCTCGTCACGCTGTAGTGAGGTCTAAATGACGTAATAGTCCCTATGTTTTTCCTCAATGACATACTCTCCGAGAGGTAAAAAGGTGAAAAGAAAAAGGAAATAAACATCTTCTGTCTTCTGTCAGCCAACTTGGCACAAAATAAACAAGACCTCTCGATCAATAAAATTATCTAATTAGAGCTATGGGAAGCTCTAAATTAATATTTACGCTAAATTAAATGAGAAATTAATAATGCAAGATAAGTGACTTTTACGCATATGTTTATCATCATATGTGTTTTTCACTTTAGTGTTAATTGCTAAAATTAAATTATTTAATTTAATATAATTATGAGTGCAGATAGTTATTTATCGTAATTAGTTACTCAAAAACCGAAATTTACAACTGGGGAGAAATTCAAAAATAGCCAGATTTACAACTGGTTGTTCAAAAATAGCCCAGTTTCAAAAGTAATCGAAATTTAATCATTTTTCATGTAAAGATAAATCTGAGCGAAAATACTGTTCAAAAAATATGCCAGTATATTATACTAGAGTTCCAGCATAAGTATACTTGAACTCCAGCATATTATACTGGAGTTCCAGGATAAGTATGCTGGAACTCCAGCATAATATGATGGAGTTCCAACAAGTATATATGTCCAACATAATATACTGGAGTTTGGACCACCGATGCTCCAGTCTCTAGTATATTATACCAGATCCAACAAAGTATACCGGTCCAGCATAATATGCTGGAGTTCATACACAGGTGCACCGAACTCCAGTATATTATGCTGGACCGATCTCTGTTGCAGCAAAATAGTGGTTGTTTTTCATTGACTTGGTAAACGCTGGCTATTTTTGAATGACCAGTCCGAAAACTGGCTATACCGTGCTATTTTTACTGTAAAATGGGCAAGTTACACATTTGGTCAATCAGCTAAAAATAATTATATTTGTTAGCCAAATATACTCTAATTATGTATGAAATATACTAGTATATTATATTATATTTGTATAGGTCGAAATTTGGACGACTACGACCGATACCAAGTGTAGCAGATAGCGAGGTCCCTACGACGTCGCGTCTTAAGATCATTATGATGAGCGACAACTAACAGTAGCTAGAGAATTCACGATGTTTGTGGTCATGTTAGCATGATAGGAAACAATGGGAATATGCCTTTCGAATATTCCTTGTGTTGTACCTTTCTTTTTCGTTTAGGGTAAAAAGGGGGATTGTCTCCTATAAAAGGAGGGAGAACATTCTGTAAAAGGGGGATTCTGAACTTGTCACAATTCTGAGAACGATATATGATTTTTACTTTTGGTTAAGAACATCCATTGCGAAATCTTTTTACATTCAAAGTTGTCATATTTATGCTTAATCGTTCAGTTTTGAGGTATTAAGAAACATCGTTCATCTTGTTCATTATTTGCATCTTTCAAGCTAGATCTTATTATGTTTGGCTGAGATTTACTCCTTTAACTTTTTTAATTGATTTAATAAAAAAGGTTTCACTATCTTTTGGTCAAACAATTTGGAGCCGTCTGTGGAGATTTTTTCAGCTAAGATTTTAGTCTCATCTAGACTCTTGAAAGGGATAATCACCTCTTCTAGCTTTGTATAAACTAACAATGGCAGGGAAAGGAGATACAAGGCAAAAAGCAATAGTAGGTGTCATAACCAACCTCCTGAACACCATCAACGAAGATAGCAGGGAAGACAACGAAAACGAGACACCAGATATCACACCCAGGGGAGACGCCTCACCCCCTCCCCCCCCGTGTGCAAAAGCGTAACTACTTCACGCGAGAAGAAAGCCTCCACATCTGCAATAGGAGAGACACCACCAGTAGTTCGAAGACTGCTGGAAGAATGGCTAACAAGTACTCTGAACACCATACTTGATAAGCCTGCCCAAAAGGGATAACAAGAATATCACACATTCAGATGCCACGATAAATGCTGATGAGCAAGATGCCCCCGTACAGGTAACACTCACGTCATTAATGACGCAGGTAATGACACGCTTGCAGTCGTTTTAAAGAAAATGGAGGAGATGGAAAATGAGAACAAGGCACTCCGTGACCAAATGGAGAAACACCAAGAGAGGGTGGATAAAATACCGGGCGCTCCAAAATTATTGCCAAAATGCGGCGTTGGTCGATTCATCGAGCAACCATACAGTGAAGAAGCGACCTCTTACGCCATCCCAAAGACCTTCAAAATGTCGCCCTACCTAAAGATATATGATGGTACCACCGATCCAAAAGATCATATCATCCACTACGTCACATCCGTAAAAGGTAATGATCTTTCAAAAGAGCAGGTGCCATCGGTGCTATTGAAAAAGGTTGGCGAAACCCTAACAGGGGGAGCCTTGACATGGTACTCTCAACTGGCAGAGCGCTCGATAGCAACGTTCAAGGAAATGGCAGACAAATTTGTCACCACCCATGCAGGAGCCAAAAAGGCAGAAGCTAGTGTAAATGATATATTTACCGTAAGGCAGATGCACGGCGAGGGACTCAGGGACTTCTTAGCTCGGTTCAACAGGGTGAGAATGAGCCAGCTGAATGTGTCAGAAGGAATGCCAGTAGCAGTCTTCCAAAATGGACTAAAAAGGAACAGGTTGAGAGTGACCAGAAAATTACTAAGCAATCTCATGAAATACCCTCCAACTGCTTGGGAAGAAATTCATAACGCTTACTGTGCCGAGGTACGAGCCGGCGAGGATGACCTCAACGGTCCAACCCAACGATTGACATCACTTCAAAATGAAGCAAGGAAAGATCATCGCAACGACGGTCGAAGAGATCAGTTGGGGCCTCGCCTCATCCGGGAAAGGCATCAGCCTTACGTCAGGACGTCTGCTCCGCCTCCATCACGGCACACAGATGTTCCCCCTCGACATACAGTACCATATCGACACGAGAAAGGTATGCCTCCACTCCTACCTGCTCATAATTTTTGTGTTTCTCCTTCAGAAATAGTGTACGCACTGGAGAAACTCGGTCCAAAGGTGCAATGGTCGCAAAAAATGAGGTCAGACCTCAGCACCCGGAAGTCAAGTGCTTTCTGCGAATTTCACCAAGAAAGGGGTCACATAACCGAAGATTGCATAGGACTGCGACATGAGGTAGTGCAAATGCTAGGCCTGGGATACCTGAAAGAGTTGCTGAGCGATCGAGGACAAGCTAACTTTGCCCGCGGATGCAAACAGCCCCAGGGACCTCCAAAACCGCCTTCTCCCGCTCGCACTATATAGATGATCATCGACGGGGGCGATGGCGCAACAATCAATCATGGCAAGTTCACCACCACACATAAACTCAAACGACCAATCACCCAAGAATGGTATGATGACCTCGAAGACAGTATCATCTTCGATAAGTCAGATATCGACGGTTTGTCTTTCCCTCACTATGATGCTCTTGTTATCACTTTATGTATTGCAGATACTGATGTAAAAAGAATAATGGTAGATGACGGAGCGGCACATGTATTATCCATCCTCGAGTCCTTATACAGATGAGACTCGAAGACAAAATAATACCGCGCTGCATAATGCTAACAAGTTTCAATAATGCAGTTGAACGGACTTCTGGAGAGATAGTGTTACCCGTCCTAGTAGGGGGAGTCACCCTTGAAACGACGTTTCACGTCATGAACCAAGAAACAACCTACAACGCCATCATAGAGCGCCCGTGGACACGCTATGCGAGCGGTCCCTTCCAGTCTCTATCAAGTGATCAAATTTCCTACCCCATGGGGAGTATTTAACATTTGAGGCGAGCAACGCACCATATAGGAATGCTATCACATCGCCCAAGTTTGCGTCCACACCCAACAACTCAAAGGGGCAAATGCGGAAGCATAGCAATTAGCGATGTCGGGAGCCAAACTTGACGAACGGACAGATGTTATCAAGGACCCCAACATCGTGGAAACAACCGGGTCAATGATAGAAAATCTCGATCCCGTCTTACTAGACGGCAACGACAATACAAAAAAGGCTTATATCGGGCACAACCTCTCGGAACTAGGTAAGTTTCACAAGTTCTTGACTGATAATGACAATCTTTTTGCCTTATCCCATGCAGATATGCCAGACATCCCAAAGGATATCTCCACACACAAGCTAAATGTCGACCCCATATACCTACTAGTATGGTAAATAAGGAGGAAGTTCAATGCCGCGATCAACGAAGTCATCTGCGAAGAGGTCGATAAGCTGCTCGCAAATGGCTTCGTTCGAGAGTCAAAGTACCCTCAGTGGATCACCAGCGTGGTCATGGTGAAAAAGAAAAATGGTAAGTTGGAGACGTGTATAGATTTCACGGACCTAAACAAGGCATGTCCAAAAGATTCCTTTCGATTGCCACACATCGACCAGCTCATCGACGTGACAGCGGGACACTAGTTTCTAAGCTTCCTGGATGCCTACTCGAGTTACAACCAGATCCTCATGGAAGAAGAAGATTAGGAGAAAACTACTTTCATCACTCACCAAGGAACGTACTGCTATAAGGTTATGTCATTCGGACTAAAGAATGCAGGGGCGACGTACCAGAGATTGGTCACCAAAATGTTCAAAAACCAACTCGGTAAAATAATGGAAGTCTACATCGACGACATGTTGGTTAAGTCAAAAAGGAAAGAAGATCATATCGATCATCTGAAGGAAGCCTTCGACATATTAAGACGATACAGTATGAAACTGAACCCCAAAAAATGTGCCTTCGGAGTAAGCTCGAGTAAGTTCCTCAGTTTCCTAGTATCACAAAAAGGCATCAAGGTCAACCCAAAACAGATTAAGGCCATCGAAGGAATATCTAAAACACTGACCAGCAAAAAGTAGGTACAAAAATTGACGGGACGGATTGCCGCCTTGTCAAGGTTCATCTCACGGTCATCGGACATATGCCATAAGTTCTTTAATGTATTAAGGAAAGACAACGGACTTTAGTGGAATTTAGAATGTGTCGACGCCCTAAGGAAACTAAAAGCATACTTGTCTTCACCATCCTTACTTGCCAAGGCAGATCCAGGCGAGTGACTCCTAGTCTACCTAGTTGTATCCGAAATCGAGGTAAGTGCAGTTCTTGTCCGAGAAAACAAAAGTACACAATCTCCAATTTACTATATCAACAAAACCTTAATTGACGCCGAAACAAGGTACCCCCACCTTGAAAAACTGGCTCTAGCATTGGTCGTAGCTTCACAAAAGCTTAGACTATATTTTCAATGCCACCCCATAAAGGTGGTGACAACCTTTCCTCTTAGGAGTATCCTGCACAAACCTGAGTTATCGGGTAGGTTGGCCAAATAGGCCATAGAATTGAGCGAGCATGATATAACATATGAGCCTCGAACTGCAATAAAGTCGCAAGTGCTCGCCGATTTTGTCGCCAATTTCAGTGCAGAGACATTGCCCGAAGTCGAGCAAGAAGTGTTTTGCGCTTCACTTGAACAATCTGACCTCTAGGTCCTCTACACTGACGGCGCGTCCAACGCATCGAGATCGGGACTAGGACTCGTACTCGAAGTCCCAACTAGCGAAGTAATTCACCAATCCATACGATGCCCTGAAATGACTAACAATGAGGCCGAGTATGAGGCAATAATTGCAGGACTAAAGTTGATCCTCAAATATGGTGCTCGGCGAGTCATCCTCCGTTGCGACTCTCAACTTGTTGTTAATCAAGTTACTGGGACTTTCCAGATTAAGGAATAGATGTTGCAGAAATACCAGACCGAAATCCACAGGCTGCTGCCAGAATTCGACGAATGCCGACTTGACCAAATACCCCGAGCACAAAACATCGAAGCAGACGGTGTAGCCAAGATGGCGGCAACAACTAAAAACATCACCAAGGAGAATGTGGTCACCCTCTCCAATCATCAATAGACCAAGTTGAGATACATTCTATAAATTTAAAAGTCGGGACTGGCGTAATCGCATCATATCATATCTACAGGAGGGAACACTCCCACAAGATAAAAAAGAAGCCAAAAAGCTCCGAATACAAGCGGCCAAATACAACCTCATAAACCACGACCTTTACAAAAGGACGTTCGGCAATTTTTTAGCCAAATGCTTTTTGCCAAATCAGACAAGGCGTGTGCTCGAAGAGGTATATGAAGGCCACTGCGGTGCCCATACAGGCAGTCGGGCCCTCATTAGGTGTCTTATTCGTGCAAGATACTATTGACCCACTACGAAAAAAGGCCTTGGAGTACGTCAAGAAATGTGAGCAATGCCAAAAATATGCCCCTATGATACACCAGGCGGGGGAACTCCTACATTCTGTCACTTCTCCATGGTCATTTATAAAATGGGGGATGGACATCGTCGGGTCCCTCCCAGTAGGTCGAGGTAAGATACGCTTCCTTTTGGTTTTAACTGACTACTTTTCCAAATGGGGAAGCAGGTGCGTTCGCTCAAATACACGAACAAGAAGTCATCGCGTTCATCTGGAAAAACATCATATGCCGCTTCGGCATCCCCAAAGAAATCTGTTGCGACAACGGACCCCAGTTCATCGGGAAAAAGAAGACTAAATTCTTCGAGAAATGGCACATCAAGCGGATACTCTCCACGCCATATCATCCTGCCGGCAACGGTCAAGCAGAATCCTCCAATAAAACAATATTGAACATATTAAAGAAAAAGCTTAAGGATGCCAAAGGGCTATGGCCGGAATTGCTACTAGAAGTGTTATGGGCTTACCTCACAGCGCTGACAACCAGTACAGGTGAGACGCTATATTCACTGGTCTACAGTATTGACGTAGTCATACCCGTTGAGGTCGGGGAACCCAGCCTGAGATACTCCAACGAGAGCAGGCCAATTAACGACGAAAGTAGATTACAAGACCTGGATGAGGTCGAAGAACGAAGGGATATGGCGCACATAAGGATGTTGGCCCAAAAACAACAAGCAAAAAGGTACTATAACAAGAAAGCCAAAGTACAACCACTCAAAGTCGGGGACTACGTACTAAAAGCCAAAACACAAGCAGCGAAAGACCCGAATGAAGCGAAATTAGGAACAAATTGGGACAGGCCATATAAAATCACAGCAACATCAAGCAAATGAGCATTTCAACTAGAAACAATGGAAGGAAAACTGCTACAAAATAACTGGAATGTCGCCCACCTAAAATACTTCCACTTCTGAAAAGAGATGCCGCCCTAGTCGTACTTTTTTTCCCTCGCCCGGGTTTTGTCCCAATCGGTTTTTTTCGGGGAGGTTTTTAATGAGGCGATAAGGGGGACATCTCGAGGTTTGAGGTATTGTTCATTGCCCTGCCTCCTGATTACATCTCCAGGCCAAGCAATGAAGGGAATAGATATAAAGAATCTCCATTATATGTACAAATCGACATGTACTACCATTGTATAAGCAAAGTTGATATGTATCTCCGACATATGAATAAAATCACTCCTATGTACACGAAATCAACATGCGTCTTCAATGCATGAATAAAATTGGCACCTACAACACTCCAACAAATAAAATAGAATGCCACCCTCACGACGGGAGACTACTTTGGCACTAGCTCTAAAGTAGCATCCCAATAGCTAAGGCCATCGACAAAACAATGAGTTCGACATCATTTGAACCACGACGAGATACTACTTCGGCACCAGCTCGAAAGTAACATCCCAATGGCTAAGGCCATCGACAAAAGAATGCTTTCGAAATCATTTGAACCACGACAGGATACTACTTCGGCACCAGCTCGAAAGTAGCATCCCAATGGCTAAGGCCATCAACAAAAGAATGAGTTCGACATCATTCGAACCACGACGGGATACTACTTCAGCACCAGCTCGAAAGTAACATCCCAATGGATAAGGCCATCGACAAAAGAATGAGTTCAACATCATTCGAACCACGACGGGATACTACTTCGGCACCAACTCGAAAGTAACATCCCAATGGCTAAGGACATCGACAAAAATAATGAGTTCGACATCATTTGAACCACGGCGGGACACTACTTTGGCACCAACTCGAAAGTAACATCCCGATGGCTAAGGCCATCATCAAAGAAATTAGTTCGAATTCACTCGAAACACGACGGGTTTAAATATTTTGGCGAATGTTCGGAATAACATGATTGCACCAAAGGTTACCACCAAATCGACAAAATAATTTTTCATTACAACAAAAATATTACAAGTGCATGTCTTTACAAAGGGCTCAAAGACTCCCTTACAAAAAAATGTGAAGCAAAAGCAAATGCAAACCAAATAGTA